AGGCTCGGAAGCTGCTGACGAAGCCGACACTCCCACTCCTGAGAGCTCCTACATGAGCACTCCCAGCAGCTCCGACAGCAGCTCCTACTGGCAGCAAAAGAGGGCAGACGAGGAGAGCCTGGAGAAACTGAGTAGGTCTTCTGCCTTTCTTGCCTGAGAGGGCAGTGCTAATGTTCCGGGACAGCAAACACTTGCCTTGCTACCTGTTCTTTTCTGCCTCCTCACAATGTTTCTGCCTTTGTCTCCCAGTTTCCTGGGAGAAAGGGAACTCTTCAAAGCACTGTAGGAAACCACCAGTCATTGTGAAAGAGCCACCTGGGCTACACATCTGCCTCCCTTGTTGTTGTTGTTGTTGTTGTTCCCCAAGTGATTTCAGCTCCCAGCCCCAGGCAGAGGAGCTGCAGTCCTGATCTGCTGGAGGGCGGCATCTTCATTTGGAAGTGACCATCTGTCATTTGCTTGCTTTCAGGGAGTGTTGTGAGTGTGGGAGATCCTTGGAAGATCTACCTTGAGTGGACAAAAATTGACAGCGGGTAAGTCTGACCACAGTTCCTTCGACAAAGCCCGGGATTTTGCCGGGGCAAGGTCAGCCAGGAAGTCAGACAAGCTCCAAAGGTGTTCAGGCACTGGGTTTAGATCCTCCTGCCTCTCAGTGCTGATCCCCACTTAGAACCGTGGTCAGAGGGCATCCTCAAAGACAACTGCGTGCTGGCACTGTCTTGCCTGCAGCAAGAATCAGGACCTGCAAGATCTCCTGTCCTTCCAGCGCCTGGCCCCTCTTTGATGCTTTCCTTGGGAGATATGATGCCTCTGTGTCTCCACATCATACAGCCAAGGGCAAGAAAGGAGAAAGAAACTTTCTTGCCTAAAAGAGCAACCCAGCACCTGAGAGCTGTCAGATCACAGTTCTCAGGAACTTCAAATATTTGGCTGAGAACAATCTTCCGTGCTCCTCAGGAGTAGAACCACATGGTTTCGAAATGGAAAACATTCCTTTCTTTGCTACTCTTTCCTTTCTAGGGCTTTCGGAACGGTCTACAGAGTGACCGACACTGCCACAGGAGGAGAGGTAAGTGTCAAGGTTCCCAGCAGGTTTTGCAGCTCTCCAGTGCTGCTTTCCACTCTGGGCCGAGCTGTGGATGGAGCTTTGGGTCCCCAGCAGATCTTTCCGGCAAGGGCTGTTCCTCTGGAGCGCAGTCTGGTGCCAGCCTACCAAATCCATTTGGGACAGCCCTTTGGGGTTCCAGCTTCGCATTTCGGACATTTCAGCATTTCTGGCTGTCAGCAACCACATCGCAATCTTCTGGGGAGTTTCTCATCCCCAGGCAGTGCTGGGCTTTCGAACTGGGCTTACATGGAGTTCTAGCAGGGAGTAAAAACCCCAAGCCCTGCTCCTAACCCGGAGCGTATCCATAAAATGCCCGAGAGCATCTGGTTTGTCTTTCAAGCCAGGAAACAAACTCAAATCTAAGCTGTGTTCAAGAGTGTTCTTTAGAGTTGCCAAATCAAAATTTGTTCTGATCTTGGGCAAGAGACTTCCCAAGGTCATGGTTTTCCGTGTCCTTTCAGGTGGCCATAAAGCAAGTTTATCTCCACAAGCAGCTGAAAAAGGAACAAATTGTGGATGAGCTCATGATTATGAGGGACAATAAACATCCAAATCTCGTCAACTATTTGGACAGGTAGGGAGTTGTGGTATGGCCACGAGGCTGCTCCTTTACAGACTGCAAGCCAAAGGTTGAAAGCACCCCCTTTGGTCTCTGGCAGAGAAGTCAGCTTTTTCTTCTTAGTTTTCATCTCTTCCTATACAATGTATGGGAGGAGAGTGCATTTTGTCTGCATTCACCTTTTCTGGCAGGCATTGTTTCAAGTCCTCCCTATCTTCCTAAAACAACAGCCTGTACAATCCCTACTTCCAGGGGGTTTTGTTGTTTTTTTGGGGGTAAATTTTAAGTTTATTGCACTTTTTTCAGTCTCCTGTGATCATAAGTGCGGATAAATCATCATGGAAATGATTTCTCTGCATTTTTCCCTCCCTTGCCATCTGAGACATCTCCGTTTTCACGGATGTGCCTTTCTCACTCAGACTCCACAGATTCCAAGGAGCGTATAGGCGAGGAGGAATGTCTCTGCCTTTTCTTCTGGGTCCATTCCCAAGTCTTCCAGGGACAGAAATCAGCTCGAGTCTTTTCAGTTGGGTAATTTAGCTATG